ATCAGACGTTGCGTGCAACTAGAGTGCGCAAGGTTCCTTACACCGCATCGGCTGCAGTAGCGGCCGCCGCAGTGCCGGAGAGCACGAGACACATTTCGGCGAACACGGCTGCGATTCGTAGATGGGTTTCCCAGCGCAAAGTGGTTTCTGCGGTACCCACTACACTGCCAGTTGGTCCAAAGGGTCAATCCGCATGGATTAAAGCGTGTGCATTGGAATTGGCGGCACTTGTCAGTGACCTGCCGCACCCAATTGCTTACCTCGCCTCGATGTCGAGGGAATCCCTCCAAACCTTTGGACATTCTATCAACAGCGAGTCTCAACTGTCTGTGATACGCCAGCATATCACACACGCAGATGAAAAGCTTCGAGAGCTGTGTATGGTTTGGTCTGCAACGGCAGACGGTCAGTCTGGACAGATCCGAGGGAAGACGACCACAACATAAAGCGCTGAAGAAAATTCAGCAAATTACAGCCGGAGCTGTTGTGCGCGACTTTCGTGGAACCGCTTCCGGACTTGGATCAATGTGGCGTCCTCAATGACCTGTGTGTGTTGCTACCTCAGCTCGCACCTGTCGAGAATGAGACGAAGATGGTGATCCCACAGTCCAAAGCGGCATTATACCACCTCTCCAAAGAGGTGCGCGCTGCTGTCTTCAGCATTATATGCAAACCTGCCAACTAGCAGCCGGTGATTGACCTTATTGCTCGTGATGGTCAACTGCTGGACCTTCAGTACTGAGGGCCTCTCGGCTGCGCAAGGGGCTGATTTGTAAAGGGGTGCGAAGGAAGATTCAACTCGACGTCGTCGCCGGGCCATGTTAAAGGATTCTCAAAGGCCACGCGAAAACAGCATCGGTATGCATTTGCAAAATGTCGCGGAATTTCCCAAGCATCCGGAACGCTGTGCAGAATGGTTTGGCCATTTCAGGCAGCGCAAAACACGGGGTGTTATCGACTTAGTTCTATTACAAGAAAAGCGAGTCTCTATTGGTGAAGCAGCAAGGCTGAACAAGTTTTACAGCACCACATGGGGCTTCGTGGACAAGCCTGGACGCACTCGCTGAAACGAGTCCGAAACAGCGCGTGGAGAGGTTGCTATTTTACTGAATCCGTACTCGTCGATTATGAAAATGGAACAGTGGCATGAGATACATCGGACGCCGCATTGGATGGCTGTTCAAATTACTATTTGAAGTGAAGCCGTTCTCGTTGTCAACGTATATGCACCGAGTGATAAGACTGAAAGGGAAGCGTTTTTCGAGAAGCTTCGACATCACCTGCTTAAATACGACGAACCCTTGTTCGTGGGCGGAGATATTAACTGCACATTAAGCCTCGACTTGACCGATCTTTTGTCTCGCCGCACGGCAGACATGATTCGCAGGCGTTGAGACGGCTTCTCGGGCAGGCGCAACTTTGCGATGTACTCGACGATGACATGGAGCGAGCGGAAAAATAGAGGGCCATTTCAGCCTTTCATGCGGCGGCGCACACATATTTCTACACTTTTCCTGGCGGTGGATCAGCCAGTTTTCGACTTGATCGGTGGTACGTGAGTGCTCTTCACGCTGATTGGATGCGAGATGTCGATCTGTCTGTACCTGGCCCAGCAGCTGACCACAATGGAATCAATATACGGATTGGGGCGCCTGAACATGTTGTGCGCGTACGTAAGCTGCGGCACGTATATCCAGTTCCGGGTTGTGCACAAGCAGCCGCGAACAGTGCCATTTGAGGCCATTGAGCGGGCACAGATTACAATTGATATATTCAGGTCTGTTCCGACGTCGGACTATCGTACGGCCAGACAATTAGCCGAATGGTGGGACGAATGGAAGATCAGGTTACGTAAAGTTTTTGTGGCAACTACCAAGATAGCCCGTCAAAGTCTGACACGCAGCTACAGACAGCGGCTAAAGTGCCTCTATGTCCGTCTGGATGCGGCGCTGTCGGAGGCGCACTCGTCAGCTAAATCAATAGCGTGTGCTCAAGTGATATGCGACCAGCCAAGTCCTGTCGACAATCATGCGGAACTTCGGCGAAACGTTTCTGAGCGTCGGCGATTATGGCAAAGAACCAAAAAAGAGCGACTTCTTGTCCAGCACACATACTCTCCAGGAGAGACTTCTCGGTCTTTCTTCGCGCGGGTGTCCTCAAAATTTCAGGACAATACTATCGTTTCTTTTAGTGGACAAACTACATACGGGTCGAAACGGTCGCAGGAATTTGCGGATGAAATGGCAGACGGCTGGGGACATCTTATGACTAAATTTTTTGATCGTCCAGATGCTACCACTGCATTTCTTGAGCGAGAATCTCCTCCAGTCCGGATAGGTGGGCTATCGATGCCGTGTATTCGTACAAAATAAATGACTATGGCGACGACAGCTGTTGGACAGTGGGCAGCTACAGCTTCTTCGAGAGATTTACTGATCGCATACTTCCTATGGGGCTTTACTGATTCGGGTCCGTCTTACATCACGCCATGTTGGATCCAAGACCAGGACCATCGACTTCTAGCGACGCTATGGTTAACCGGTTCTAAAATTGTTGGGCTTTCAGCTGCTCCACATGCTCGCCACGGGGAGGTCAAGGAGATATGCCGAAGGGCCGCCTCTTTTACATCAAGAGCCGTGGTCGATTATAATGGAGACGGTAGTGTCACAATCGATGTTCGCCATATACTTGATGACAAGTTGCGGGCCGGAATGAGAGCGGAAGGAGCGACATCAGGTCGTTTTGAGCCCAGATGGATCGTACACGCGACGCTGACGGACATGTCGTAGCTGAGGGACCGCAGAGGCAATGCTTATACCTTAAATGGAGCGGATTTTGCGAGGGGGCACAAGTATATTGGCGACATATTGACCTAGTAGACGACTCAGAGTGGTATCGTCAGATTTGCGCCCAAGCGTGACATGGACACTCACTCTATGGCGAAGCGTCGGCATTTTGGGACTTTTTCCTTGCCCGTCTATACAATTTTCCAGCACTCTTAAATGGGCCGGTTGAATCAGAACATTGATTGCGTACTCCACTAAGGTCCACCAATATCATAATTGTCTCCTCGACCGAGATGGTACATCGATATCGCACTTCGACACGGGTATGGCGGGTGGGGTGGCTACAGTCTCATGCTTGCGATACCGCCGCAGGTCTGGACAGCGGAACAACTGTTCACTTTGGTGCGCATCCAGAGCTTACACGTAATGTACACCTATGGGCTGGCCGTCGAAGATGGAGGCCGCAACGACGAAAACTCAAACAGATCGTTGTCCACAAGCTAAGTGATGAAGGTAAACGTATTCACGACGACCGAGTGGAGAAGCAGGATTTCCAAGTGATTGCATCAGGTACATCTCTGATCTAGTGGAGAGACATTCGTAAAGTACGGGCTTCATTCCCGACCAACGCGCAGACGCTATATCGTTTAAAGAGTAACAGACGTCCGCTCTGGAACTGGGCTAGCCAAGATATATCCTGCCCCTATCCAGCGTGTTCAACATCCTTACCGGCCATGGCTATTCATGTATTCTGTAATTGCCCTAGTGCCCGGCGCCATTGGGATTATCTACTTGGACGGTGGCGAAAGCTAGGCGATTTAAAGGAGGCGGATCTTCACGTCTGGGTGTTTGGCATGGACCTTTCGAGTATTCCGAGTTCTGCATGGGATTCCATAAAAAACGCTGTCGACCCCGGCGTAAATTTGGCTCGAGCGAAGGATGCGGATTTTCCAGCAACACGTGAGCTCTGGCGTTTTCTCGTTTCGACGACATTACATTCCATCTGGGCTGAGCGTCTCCGCCGCTTGGAAGACTCAGTTTTGCCACAGGAAATACACAGCGCACGAGCCAGAACACAATTTCGACGAGCAATTACTCGGTTTCGAAGTTCAACATACCAGCCGGACATGGGGGTAGACGGACACCTATTTGCACGAGTACGGTCGGCGCTTGCTGATACCCTCATCGGCTCTGACAATCCACCTCCCTTGCGACCGCTAAAGCGTGACAATCTATTTGGGGTTTTCTACTTTTCTTCGACGAGGGTCGAGAGGAAATCCTGGACCGGGCGGAGCAGGATCCGTCATTGTCCAACTTCACATTCAGACGCACGCAGCATGCGTCATGTGGATATCGAGCATGGACTACGGTTCTGCAAATATTACTAACAATGTCGCTGAATACTGGGGGCTCGTTCACGGTCTTCGACAAGCGAAGGCTAGCGGCTACTCACCTCTGCATGTCGTGGGGGACAGTGCACTCGTGCTTTCGTGACTACGGACGCACCATCCTCCACGCAAGCCACACCTGGCGCTGCTATTCCGAGAGGCAATATCAATTGCTTACGATATCGGTGTCTCCAGCTGGGAAAATCACTATCGCTCATACAACAAAATGGCTGATCGAATGGCGATTATCGCCATGGCCACTGGAGCCTCTATACAAGCGCACGCTTCTGTGGAGGAAGGTGTTGTCACGGAGGTTTCGGCATTCCTTGACCATGATGTCAACCACTGGCTGGAGGTCTCTCAAGAGTGTTCTCTTAACTGTGCGACTTGTAGGATTGTGTGGCGCGTGAGCGCTGGAACCACAAAAAATGCCAAAGGAAACTGTAAAATGGCATAGTATACCAGGTTAGAGAACCTTTTACAAATTATATTGAAATGACACGGCGGATATGCAGCTGTTGACATGCATTATATCGTGGCCATGCTACTCACTATGTCTTTGCTTTATTTTACATTAACGCCATCTCATTCAACTTGTATTGATGTGGGTAATGATACACACACATTGGACTCACAATCCTCTTGTTCTTCTTGACACTTGTAGCCCGCCAAAAAATATTCCCTGGCAGAGGCTAGCATCCAAACTTCAACTTGTCTTTTCCCAAAATATAGTCTAGACTATTTTCAACGCAATTACTATATTATTAAAAGAGGGTATTTGGTGTCAATTTTGTGTACAACGAAAAGGAGGCACAATCAAAACGCGATGTCTGCTCATACGTCGACGAAAAATGTGTGCGTGAACCAAAATTTGAGATACTCAGAGTGCGACCTTATGGACCGCACGACACACGGATACCAAGTGCGTGTCTGTGAAGGGTGTGAGCTTGCTGTCCATGAGAAGTGCTACGCTATTGCACCACTGACTACAGAGGAGGAAGTGCAAAGCAGTGAGATAGAACAACAAAACGAAGACATGAAGAGTTCTGAATGGTTGTGTGATTGCTGTCGACGAGGAGTTCAACGACAGATGATCAAGTGTGTGTACTGTGAGAAAACGGCAGGTGTTACAGCTTTTAAAGTTGTCGATACTGGTGACGCTGCTTTTTGGAGTCTATTTGCTGGATTTCAAGACGAGAAAAAGCCTACAATTGAAAACGAGGTGCAATTTGGACATGTGCTTTGTATCAAGTGGGATCCACGTCGATTGGCTGTGCACACTATCAAAGAAAGCAAGATTCAAGCTGCTATGATGGTGTCGAAGAAGGACCTTGTCAAAAAATCTGCAGAGAAAACAGTGACAGAGGGGGGTATAAGTGAAGGAATGGAGCAGACGGACGAACCGTTTGTGGAGAAAGTTGACGAGGCCATGCCAGACGTAAAAGAGGTGCTGCTGAGAAATCTGTTTCCTCCCGGTGAATGCTGCTTTTGCCAATCAAGTGGTGGCGTTCGGATACAGTGTCGCCGAGTGAACTGCGCGCGCGATTTTTCACGCCATGTGCGCGCACCAAGGAAGTGGTCACGTGGAGCTGCGAACTGATCATTTCTTGCAGTTTCATGCGTACTGCGACCGTCATCGAGACTGCACTGAAGACATTGGCGACCTATTGGCAAAATTAATTACGCGCCCCATACGGTTGCTTGTAGGTCGCGATGACATGCGCCGATTTGGTACAATTGCAAAACATTTACTAAATTACGTCAGCGCTGCTGCTGTGATGCACGATTTGGCAGCCTTGATAGTTGGATACTGCAATAAGGGTCTGCGTGCCAGCAAGAATGAGCCGCCTGATTATAACGTGAAGCACCTCCAGGTACTTCAGTTCTTCTTGAGTCACGTGCCACAGCTTGAAAAAGTATACGCACTACCATCGACGCCTATACAAGATCTCGTTAATGACACGAAGCTATTTCGTCGTCTCGAAAGGACGTTCGATCCACTGAGATACGTGGCCACGTATCCTGGCCCACTCAGTCAGCTGTACACTTGTAATGTGTGCCTGGACCCTTTTCACGAGCGACAACACGTTTTTTACTGTTGTAGAGAAGACAAATCTGCGATCCCGCATGTTCAGCACTGGAGATGTACGAAGCGTCTATCAAATGCTCGAGAGCGTGAAAGGTATCTTCCAGTAACAGGAAGCACGAAAAAAAGAAACGAAAAACGATTACAATTGTGCAGAATGGCGTACGAAAGGATATTGCGCTACCCAAGGGCCTCTCGAGTATGACAGATGATATTATTTGCGGTGTATGTCGTGCCCCAATTGATGCGCGTGGTCTCATCGCATCTTGTAAGAAAGCAAAAAGTTTGGATTTTGAGAAGAAGGAAAGCAAATTTGTTCAGAGCGGTTGCTACATCAACTCTGTTGGTGCCAAAGGATTCTCTTATGGATATAATGCGTCGTCTCGCAAACCGGCGAGACCGACTGATGGTAAATCTAATGGCAGCTCGACAGTACAGCACGCAGTGGCTCAACAAGCCTTGGGGCCTCCGAAGATGGAACGGATTAATGTTCAGCGCACGACGAGGTGGCTTGCTTGCGTGGCTCAAATCATACGTCTTGTTGGGGCTCCAGCTCCCGCAGCTTCGGCAGAGGTGATTAAGGCCCCTTCACGCTCAAGCAATCTTGCTACGATTGAATCCCTGAACAATGGTGCTGCCACGTCCGCTATTACTGCAGCGTCAGCTTTCAATCGTGCGACTGACTCAATTGGAGCTGTTGAGACCAAGTCATCATCGTGTACACCAACGCCTGGTAGCTCTGTGATTGAAAAAGCTACGCGTGAGGACAAGGATTCATCGGAGATTATGTCGATAGTCGGAAGATCTCTGTCACCTGCTACTATCAGCGCCACCACGTCGTCAACTACGCCGTTGCCAAAATCAATAGCAAAGGTAACACCATCCCTCGTGACGCCAGCTGTACAAGGACTTTTTAACGAATTGATACGTCTCGTACGTCCGTATGATTCGTACGCGCTTAGCAAGTTGGAGACTGCGTACGATATGCTCCTTCACCGAAGTGGACCTGGTGTCGCTGTGTTGCGTATGTTTACGCACGAATACACTCGTTTTGTGTATATTAAGCACACGCGTGCCGTGGAAAAGGCACGCCATGAGAAACGTAAACGTGCAGAGCACGAAGCACAGGAGAATCGCGAAAAAGAACGCAATCGCATGAGCCTTGAGACAGAGCGAGCGCTCAAGAACCAAATGCTGGCAATGCGCGACAAACAGCGACAACATCTCAAGGCCTCGTCGTTAAAGTAATTAGACAAAGAGTTCACGACAATTAATTCTTAATGAATGACACAGGTGGTATGGTTAATGACCTGCGAGAACCAAGATGATAACCAAGATGATGACCAAGATGATGACCAAGATGATGACCAAGATGATGACCAAGATGATGACCAAGATGATGACCAAGATGATGACCAAGATGATGACCAAGATGATGACCAAGATGATAACCAAGATGATGACCAAGATGATGACCAAGATGATGACCAAGATGATGACCAAGATGATGACCAAGATGATGACCAAGATGATGACCAAGATGATGACCAAGATGATGACCAAGATGATGACCAAGATGATGACCAAGATGATGACCAAGATGATGACCAAGATGATGACCAAGATGATGACCAAGATGATGACCAAGATGATGACCAAGATGATGACCAAGATGATGACCAAGATGATGACCAAGATGATGACCAAGATGATGACCAAGATGATGACCAAGATGATGACCAAGATGATGACCAAGATGATGACCAAGATGATGACCAAGATGATGACCAAGATGATGACCAAGATGATGACCAAGATGATGACCAAGATGATGACCAAGATGATGACCAAGATGATGACCAAGATGATGACCAAGATGATTGCGCAAGTACTTTCATTAGTTGGGTTAGTCTAGCCTACCATATAACCCTCCAACAAATACATTCTCAATTTTACCTTTGACTCCGCAAACCCCCTCAAGCAAGGCTTGCGGACTGATCACCCCTCTGCAAGCCACGGGTGTGTCATTTTGATATATTAAATTTGGCCAATCAAGAACGAGAATCCCGTCGCTTTCAGCATGGGACGGAACAATGAAGATGAGTACGTCACGTACACGATCGTGACGTGTCAAGAAAGCGCGACCGCACCAGCTGACTTCGCCAAGCTGAAAATTAAACGCTTTCGCGGAGGATCCGCGAAGGACTGGCTCCAATGGAGCATGAAGTTCAAGAGCCTCGCGAAAAGAAAAGGATAAGGTGCTGACCAACTCACCGTTCAACTGCTCACGCTGATCGACGGAGATCTATCGCGCGAGGTCGAGCGCATCGCCAGCGAATCTTCCGAGAAAGGATATACGTTTGAAGACTTCTACCGTGAGGTCGGCTTACTCCTGGTTCCTGCGGACTACAGTGAAGACCTAGATGAGGAGCTATGGACCCTGACCAAGCGCCGAGACGAAACAGTTCAACGCTGCTCGGCACGTCTGCGAGAGCTTGCTCAAATGTACGCCGAGTTGCCGTAGGATGCGCAAACAATTTCGGAGAATCAACTCTGTCGCTACTTTCGCCGAGCTATGCCTTCAAATTGGCAAGACAAGCTTGCATTTTGTGGAATCTCCTACGAAACCATAACAGAGCTCGCGATGTACTTTGAGCGACTCGAAAGGCGCGAAAGACAGAATGGCCGGGAGCGCCAGAATGGTCACGGAAAGAATGGTGAAAGGGGTCAAGGTCGGCGTGACCACCAACGCCCGTTCAACGACCGCAATGACCGCAGAGATCGTCGCAACCAGCGCGGACATCATGACTCACACGAGAATCGTCCTCACAGACGGACTGTGACAGACAACAAAAAGCAAAACGACCGCCATGATGATACTGGTATGTGGTGTAAGTTCCACAAAACAAAGTCTCACAACTCCAGCGAGTGCTTCACCCTCAAGAAGCAGCGCGAAGAGCACAAGCCAGCTGAGATACAGACAACAGTCTCAAGCAAGAACAATTATCCCAGATTTGATGAGGAGGCAAGTGACAGTGACAGCGACAGCAACAGCGAGATTAAGCTCGTTGGTCTGGTCGCCAAGAAGCATACCAGCACCAAGCTCGCTCCGTTACGCATCAAGGTTCAGCTCAAGAACGCCAACGGCATCTTTGATGCGCTACTAGACAGTGGTGCATCAATAAGCATCATCAACCAGAAGACTATGCAGGCCAATGTCCAGCTTGGACGAAAACAAGTCGCATCGTCGATCAAGTTTCAGACGGTAAATGGCGAGGTGACGAGTGATGGCAGTGAAGCCGTTCAGTTTCGATTTGCATCCCTCAAGCCTTCAGCCATCATCACTCACAGGTTCGAAATTCTGGAGAAGAGTCAAGATGCTATGGTGATTGGTCGGGACATCATGACGTCATTGGGCATTGTGCTTGATTTCAAAAAAAGGTTGTTCAGTGGGATGGCCACTACGCGCACCTAATTACCGGTGGGTCACACTCTTTCGAGGTGAGCGCTTACGAGTTTCTCGAAGAAAGCAAAGAAATTGCTGAAAGTGCAGTTCAACCAGAAGAACTCATGCTTGACACATTACCCAACTCTCTCGTCGACGAATATCATCAGCTTCTTCGTGATAACGAGAGCTTGTACGATGGTCACTTGGGAAGGATGAGATTCGAAGATTACATCTTGCCTATCTCACCTGACTACAAGCCCGTTCACGCTAAGCCATATCCTGTCCCACGTAGCCTCGAAGGAAAGGCGCGAGAGCTAATTCAGCATCTAGTTAGCATCGACGTACTGGAGAAGATCTACGATTCGGAAATGGCATCGCCAGCTTTTTTTCTGAAGAAATTCAACGGTTCACTTCGTCTACTGATTGACTTTCGTGGGCTCAACCGATTTTTGCAGCGCAGCCCATATTACGTACCACGTATTCGAGAGATTTTATTACGTCTCGCGGGAGCAAAGTGTCTTTCTACGCTGGATGCAAACATGGGGTACTACGCGCGTCGTCTCGCTACGTCAAGCCGTAATTACACTGCCTTCTGCTTGCCTTTCGGGAAGTTCCAGTACAAGCGGCTCCCAATGGGAATTTCTACGGCGCCGGACGAATATCAAGCGTGCATGGAAAAAATATTTGGTGACCTGGATTTTGTCGTCGTTTATTTGGACGATATTCTCGTTTACTCTAGTAGCGAAAAGACTCACCTCAAGCACCTGGGTATCGTGTTCAAGCGTCTGAAGAAGTATGATGTTACGCTTAACGGCAAGAAATGCCACACTTTACGCGAGTCTGTTGACTATCTTGGCTTCACGCTTACATCCGAGGGGATTCAACCCCAGCAGACGAAGATTCAAGCAATCCAACAGATCGCCGTACCCAAGACCAGAAAGGAACTTCGCCGCTTCCTCGGGATGATTAATTACTACAGGGTCATGGTACCGAACAAGACGACATTATGTCAGCCACTTAACCGCTTCACCAGCGCTAAAGTCCCGTTCGAATGGCTACCCAGTGACACGGAAGCGTTTTACGCTGTTGAGAAAGCGTTTGCGCAAGCGATACTGCTCGCGTTTCCCAATTTTGAGCAGCCATTTCACGTTTATGCCGACGCCAGCGGTAAACAGATCGGCGGCATCATAATGCGAAAAATCAGATCCTTGCATGCTACTCGCGAAGTCTGAACAAGCACCAAGTGAATTACACTACTATGGAACTCGATCTTCTTTCGATCGTGAAAATATTGCGCGAATACCGCACCATGTTGCTCGGTTTTCCTGTGGTCGTTCACACCGACCACAAAAACCTCATATATCCTACCGAAACCAGCCTGTGAGTCAAGCGCTGGAAGCTTCTCCTCTCGGAGTACCGCCTTTCGATGCACTACATAAAGGGGGCCAAAAATGTTGGTGCTGACGCTTTTTCGCGGATGCGATTTAACAACTTCGAGACAAAGTCTAAGTTGCAACTTGCGGAGGAGGTTTGTTCGACGACGGATGAGCCAGACTGTGTCATGCATGGTCCTGTACTACAAGAGCACCAAGATAAAGACGCCATGATCCAGAAGATCAAGACTTCCTGCCTTAAAGGCAACAACAACCCCGACTACCAGCTCCTACCGCTACTCGGCTGCACACTGGTCGCGTACCAAAAGCGCGTCATTGTACCCGACAGCCTGCGCGATGACCTAATTAATTGGTACCATTTGAGTCTCAGTCACCCGGGAAGTGAACGCCAGTACAAGACGATGAGACAGGTGCTTTACTGGCCCGTCATGGAAGCCGCTATAAACAAGGAGACGAAGAATTGCCTCGTTTGCAAGAAGGCCAAGGTACTTGGAGGCAAGCAAGACTACGGATTATTGCCACCTCGGACACTCAAGACAGTGAACCCTTTCGACACAGTTCATGTTGATTTAATTGGTCCATACGAAGATGGATATTATGGCATCACAATGGTCGATCACACCACGCGTTGGCAGGAAGTGGGTATCCAGCCTGTTAAAAGTTCTTTAACCACAGCCGAGAGCTTCGATCGTGAATGGCTATGCAGATACCCGCGTCCAGTAATAGTCATTCATGACCAAGGGACAGAGTTTACTGGTGAAGAGTTTCAGGAGATGCTGCGCAGCTACGGAATTCAGTCCAAGCCCATCACAAGCAAGAACCCACAAGCGAACGCAATATGTGAGCGCGTGCATTTGAAGATTTTGAATGTCATCCGTTGCTACAATGGAGTTGACTGGAAGAAGACCATACACTACGCTGCGTTCGCCGTGAGAGCTAGCTACCACAGTATTCTCAATGCTTCGCCAGGTCAGCTTCTCTTCGGGCAAGACATGATCACTCGTCAGCTTTACAATGCTAACTGGAGCTACCTATCCAAGCGCCGTTTCGATGCAATCCTCGCTGACAACGACCGCGAAAACAGCAAACGCCTCGAGCATTTTTACAATGCAGGCGATCACGTGATGATGCGGATTTCCAAACAATTTCGTGCGAAGCTTCACGCCGTGGCACAAGGACCGTTTCTAATACGTGCAGTTCATGACAACGGAACTGTCACGATAGACAAGGTCAAAGAGACCGAGCGTGTGAGTATCCGCCGCATTTTTCCATGCTGATTCTCACAGATCATGGGGGGAGTATGACACAGGTGGTATGGTTAATGACCTGCGAGAACCAAGATGATAACCAAGATGATGACCAAGATGATGACCAAGATGATGACCAAGATGATGACCAAGATGATGACCAAGATGATGACCAAGATGATGACCAAGATGATGACCAAGATGATGACCAAGATGATGACCAAGATGATGACCAAGATGATGACCAAGATGATTGCGCAAGTACTTTCATTAGTTGGGTTAGTCTAGCCTACCATATAACCCTCCAACAAATACATTCTCAATTTTACCTTTGACTCCGCAAACCCCCTCAAGCAAGGCTTGCGGACTGATCACCCCTCTGCAAGCCACGGGTGTGTCATGACTACAAGGATGTGATCCTGCTCGTGAATTGGCGTCATCTTTACAGCTTCAAGGACTGTAGCTCAGTCGTCTTCGAACTCGCTATCTGAGTCAGAGGCATTACCGTCCGTAATGTCCATACCCTGTGCGATCTCCTTCTTCATGACGGCACTGACCTCAAAGCAGCCTTCACACACGCTCTGAATGGCGTGTGTGTAGGCCATTTTAGAGCCTCAGAGCTGTAGCTTCTAAAGCGGGTGTGGCTTTCTTGTCTTGCTCGGCCTCGAATATTGTAAAGATGCTTGTGGGAAGAGGAGCTGCTCGAGTGCAAAACTTCTTTACTCAGGCCTCGTAGTATTCGCAGTGCATCATCTTTATCGACGAAATCGATGCGCTGGCTAAAGCCCGTGGTGACTTCATTCGAACGATGAACGTGAGCAGACACTGAATCAGTAATTGACGGAGATGGATGGATTCGAAGGAAATGCCAACGGAATTATCGTGACTGCTGCTACGAATCGACCTGAGGTGCTTGATCCAGATTGCGTATGTCGGACTGCCTGACACCAAGGGTCTTGAGGCAGTCCTAGAGGTGCATTGTCGCAACGTGCGTCTTGACAGCATAGTAGACCTGTCTGTTATCGCGAAGAAATGCGTTCATCTTGGTCAGCACTCAGGATCTTAATTGGCAAGCTTCGTCAATGAGGCTGCGTTGATGCCGTGCATCACGGCAAACCAGCATCAAGCTCGCACACGTTGAGCTCGCAATGAATCGCTCTTTCGACCGAGTCGCAGCGTCGCTGGATCATCTTTTGAGTTCATGATGGAAGAAAGTTAAGCCATGACGCATGCTACAGGACAAGCTTAAAGAAACATGTGCCAGCTTGGAAGTAATTCAAGTGTAAATCTTGAAGCGCCTTGTAAATGGAACAAGCGTGTTGCATTCAGTCAGTGAGCAAATATTGATAATCAACGATTGCTGATTATCATACACTTGCCGACAACACGGCCAGACCACTTCATGACACAGTCGAGCATTGCAACCAAGAAGCTAATGCAAGCTATACATTATAATATCTAGCAGTGTTGCAATCGTCCATTTTGCTCTTGGATATTGAAATATACAGTCAGTGTGCACTTTAACCAGTTGCGTGTTCTTGGAACTCGTAACGCAATGGTAATTTAGCTTGCTCTTACTTGTTTTATAGGTGTAAGTAATAAGATTCTCATGAACGAACGACAAGGTGGATATGAAGTAGACGTAGCAGATACTGTGCGAACAGTATTTGCTACTAAAATTGATTCGAAAGCGAAAGGACTGCGCTTTCGAATCTATTTTCTTCCTACTCACATTTTTTCTGCACGATTCACAATCCCAATGAGGTATGAGCTTAAGCCACACCGACAGAATTGACAAGCTCACAGACGATAGCCACTTCCACTTTAAGCTCAACATGCGAGTAAAATCGCTCGGAAGGGTCTGTTGCCGCAGATTCATCCATTCCGAGCTCAATAAAATGAGCGATGCTCCGGAAGATCTACGATCTGAAAGCAGACAGGAGTCTCACGTACCAAGTCAGCGCCCGTGACTGCCGCTGAGGCGTGGCTACTGCTCGAAGAGCATAAAGACGATAAAATTCGGCTCCTCATCACAATGAAGTGGAACAACATCAAGGTGCAACCCGGGCACAAAATTTGCCACACATGTGGACCAGTTCAAGAAGATCGTTCTCCAGATGAAGACGATCGGAGAGCTGTGGATGAACTCGCCAGCTGTGTTGCTCCTTGGCAGTCGGACGGACGAGTACAAGATGGTAAGTATGTCATCGAGACATGCCCAATGTGACGCTAGCTTACGAATGCTATGATGTTCAGGTGGTCAAAGATCATTTAAGTTTACTAGACTTAACATTAATTAACTGCTGCTCTGAATTTCGACTACCGCGTCCGTGTTCATCTGTTCTTTTGCCGCACATATTCCCGAGACGGTAGGCGCCTTCATAAGAAACATAGCCGGCACTGTGAGAGTCAACAACCTGTACTACAGTCAGAGATTGTACAGCCCTTGAATCCCGACTATTCTTGCTCGATCAACCTCTGTGTTCTTACGCCAATGAAACGCCTCCAGCAGTCCTTGACCAGTTACGTCCGTCAACTCAAAACTTTTCAGCTTTTCTCTCGTGACAACAAAGGTTATCTCCAACGTCTTGATCTCAAAACTCTGGTTAGACTGCATGAGCTTTTCCAACCACGAATGGAAGGAGCCAATATGAAATGAGTGCTTGTCGGCACTAGTAACTTGCACCATCCGGACAAAGGCAGTCTTCTTACTCACCATGATCGCGTCGTATCCACCTTGGTTCCATTTAGATGGCTTAATCCATACAGGGCCATCAGGAAGTTGAGGTATTTCATCCGACTCCACTACTAAAGATTGACTCCACGTTTCAAGCTTGTTCCCGTCCGCATCAAATATCGCGAGACCGCCATGCTGAATACACGAGAAGAAAGTCACCTCCACCATCCATCCATTCAATGCCGGGTTTGAGCTTTGTCGGATAGTTGACATAAAATTTCGGATCGTATTCGGACCGCATATAATGGCGATCACCATAGCGGCATAGCGACTGATCAAAGGTGTCACTTTTTTCACATCAGATACCCTGAACATCGCAAACAAGCGATTGACGCATAATGGTGAATACATACCAATGGTAGCGGTATTCTCAGCATTATTCAATGCATCCGCAGCATCATGCAACTTTATCATCACATCCGTCGAGTTATAGCAAAACATATAGCGACAGGATCCACCGGCGTAATAATACTTGGCCTCTACCATAGCTGAACGATCGTTCAAGGGGCCACCCAAGTATGGCTCCACGTTGCGAAAAAATGTATCATCCTTTATCGCATCAATGTACTCGTCCAGTGTCCAAGAGAACACCGGGCACTCCATTGCACGATCAATGACATCGCGGTCGTCTTTAACCTTCCTACGAGAGGCAATGGAGCAAATAAATGCGAGCCGGCGCTTCATGATAACGTCTTCCTTTGAAAACCACGTCTTACACACTTTTGACAGCTTCTTAAAGTCATCTGCTGCAGTCCATCCATCAATTAGCACTATACGATGCTTGAAGTCGTCATTATCGTTAAGCACCTCTTTCAATTCGGTAACATCAGTAATAATTCGAGACGTTCGCTCGTCACCAAGCAGACGTACACACTGCCAGTCATCTTCCATCGCAACGTGAATCCATATCACCTCCCATTCACTTCTGTCGACTGTTAAAGCAAAAGCCATAGCAGTCGCTGACTTTCCCGTTCCTGGAGGACCGAGAACCCAGCCTAGATGACCATCTTTTAGCACCCTTTCACGTAAGAACTCAACCTGCTTATGAAAGTTGGGTCTGCAGTACAGCATCAGTCGTTTGGGAAGAAGTCCTGTAGCAGCCGTATCCTCCTTCTTTAACCAGAAATACTGTGACTCTGAGTCGTAAATATGAGGTCCCACCGGACTTGACTCCCATTTGAGCTTCTCTGAAGCTACAACCAGCACGTGGATTTGCTCTGCCGATGGCTGCAACATCTTGTTATCGTCAAATAGCCAACGCTTTAAGGTTCTCGTAGCAATCGCTTGATCTGCATCAATCATCTTCTGGATGTCTTTATGCTTTTTTCCTGTTTTCAGCTCCAGAGCCGCAGGGTCGTCGTCTTTCAGTCAAACGCCGTCCGTCATCTTTGCCAGGAAGAGTTGCAGATCCTTGGCGTCACATGTGATTGTATTCGCATTCTCTGCCTTAATGGCCTTTTTCAGGTGATACACCGATTTTTCCTTTTCAATGTCGATAGCGAACACACTGTCCTTTGCACCAACGATTGCGCAGTACAACGTCACCATTATGTTTAGCCAGCAAATTCTTGAATGAAGAAAAACAAGGATTTTATGTTCGCAATAAATGTGATTGGTTTTTTATCTACGACTAGAAAGATGAAAAGTGATCTTTCCTTTCTGATTGGCCGTAAAGCATCCGATGCGACCCATTTCGACTAGCCTAAATAATGATAGCTTTTCATATAAAGGTAGACAGGTTCTTACCAAGTATCTCGATGTTTCCTTAAATTTATATAAGAAATAGAAGAGAAGTTCCGTCCTCGCAGCGTACGCTGCCGGTGTCTAAGCGGACGCTGACGTGGCTCTAAAGCGTCCACAGCAAACTATTCGTCTTCTCTACAGCACACGTGCTTCATCCCCAATGCTGTTCATTGGTTGCTTGGACAGTACACTCGTAGTTTCGTAATCGATGGACGCACGGGCTGCATGTACTGGCAAGTGGATTAGAAGCAGTTATTTCACATTTGCTGCGATTTTCTGGATATCTGAAGCGTAGTTGCTACGATAATCGACATAAAGCTCTACTTTTTAGTAACACGCATGCTGTGGTTACATAGGAGTGAAAGGACGCTATTCTCTTTACGGTTTATGACGAGGCAAACACACTTTATGCTCTAATGAAATCGACTATATGAAAGACTGTGTTGGACTGTCAATCGGACTCTGGGACTTGGAGCTCAACATGAACTACAGACGGTGCTATTGCATGTGCAGCAGTTACTGCTGCTGAGTGAAAATTATGTGATTATTCAGGAAAAAAGACTGGATTGTTCTTAATTTGAACAATGACAAAGTGTTTCATGTATCTAAGGATGTGAAAGATAAAGACAATGGTGTTCTAGAAGGAGTAATTGCTGTCTGAGATGCAGTATCACTGCCTAGCCCGCATCGGTTCGACGACGACAACAACTTGTGATGGAATTGTTGCTATGTGGCAAGCTTCGTGAGCGACTTTATCCATTGATGAAAATGTTTCGATGGTGGATAAAGAAGAAAATGTCTATGCAGTTTTTGATCATGATACAAATAGATTGGATGATGTAAGTGCAGATAAAGCACGTGATCTATCGACTCGTCAATAACTGTGAAGGTGGAGAGAATCGTTAAGTACAATGTGGCTCCGTGTGATGTGTATATTTACGAACTGCGACTTTGTTGTCTCCACCCTTCGCGGTTCAAATGCATTAAATGCTTCTGATTGCACAGCAAGTTGCTGTGTCTTCGCGAAATCGCCGGTTGGAAGATGCCGTCGCGCTCAGTAAATTTTACTCGGAGGACAGTCAACACTGATCGACGTTGGTGGCGGATTATGGTTTCAAGCTGTTTCGATCGGCACGCCGACAGGAAGCAATAAATTACTACGATATCGATGTCATGGAGGTACTGCTGCTTTTCCCACGGAACCTTCATCCTCGCAAGACTAGCGCTTAACGCAAGGACAACAGCAGCAATAATAAGAGAGAAGATTTATAAGGTGATGGTTTAATGGAGAGTTTGTTAGCTATCATAAGATTTTGCGCCGTGAACGACACGCTTCTTTACATCACGAAGAGGAATCATAGGCTATTGGATACGTACAAGCCGCAGCCCTGAACCTAGTGACGAGAATGCACTCGAGCTAATTGATATTATCTTGCTGGTCAAGTGTGTTAGAAAAGGCAAAGTATGAAGATCGTGCCAAGTGTGCGCTGCTTGAGGTCGTAGCTGGGCAAAATTAATGAGGCTGAGGTTTTTCTCCTTCGACGGTTCAAGGCGCTGCTGGCATTTTGCTCTGTTGAAAAGTTGCATCGTAAGGCGCTTAAGCTACTAGAGCGTCAGCTGCTGCCCTGTTTGAAAAGAGCGAATTAGACCGAAAAGTGGATGAACCACAGAGTTCGGGAGACCTACAATCATCACGTGACTGTATGGTGCTTATCGCGCATTACCTTCGTGTATTGGGCAAAAAAGCATGCTGAACTGGTTTTCGCGACGTATCTTGTCCGTAAACCATGCGCTGGGGCTTGCAATTTGTACTCCACGTAATGTATTTGTGGGTGCGCGCTGGTGGTGGCACGATGCCAAGAGCCGAAGCATCGCCTCCAGCCCCGTTCAGACTATATTTTGGGAAAAGACAAGTTGAAGTTTGGATGCTAGACTCTGCCAGGGAATATTTTTTGGCGGGCTACAAGTGTCAAGAAGAACGAGAGGATTGTGAGTCCAATGTGTGTGTATCATTACCCACATTAATACAAGTTGAATGAGATGGCTCTAATGTACAATAAAGCAAAGACATGTGAGTAGCATGGCCACGATATCATGCAGTTCAACAGCTGCATATCCGCCGTGTCGTTTCAATATAATTTGTAAAAGGTTTGAGAACCTTTTCGTGTCGTTTCAATATAATTTGTAAAAGGTTGAGAACCTTTTACAAATTATATTGAAACGACACGGCGGATATGCAGCTGGTATACTATGCCATTTTACAGTTTCCTTTGGCATTTTTTGTGGTTCCAGCGCTCACGCGGGGCTTGTGAAGACGGCGCAAGCTTCACACGCTGACAGGTTTCACAGGAGTGCACCCATTTCTGGATGTACTTATACATTCGCGGCCAGAAAAAAATATGCGAGAAATAGCCGCAAACGTCTTTTCGCGACCCAGTTATCCGCCAGCTGGGCTGTCGTAAAATTCATGAACCAATCGGGCTCGAAGGTCGTCATCAGCAGGTATGACGACACGCGGGGAATCAAAGACGTCCATCGTGTACGTCAGCAGCGGACCGTCAAGCGCGTAACGCTTGATGTTGTCGCGTGTCGGTTTCGTCAACTTCGCGAGTATTTTTCGCTCGGGTCCCTGAGATAGTTGATGATTCCTGCATAGAAGGAATCATTCGCGTAGGATTCAGCGATCTGATTTCGGATCGACAGCACGGGTGTCGAAATCATCGCGTTAAGTCCCAGTTCACTACAACACGCACAGATATCTTCGTCGTCATCAACATTCTCCGTTTGATGACCCATGTCGCGCCGAGAATCGTAATCAGGACGACGAGAAAGCGCGTCAGCGAGAAAGTTATTCTTGCCAGGCTTGTAATGTACCACAAAATTATACTCGGCGAAAAATGACAACCACCGTGCCATACGCTGAGACAAGTGAGGACTCTTAATGGCGGTACGCAATGATGCGTGATCTGTGTAGATATATAACATCTTTTCGCCGAGCAAATATGCTCTAAACTTGATTAGGGCGTAACGCATAGCCAAAAGTTCCTTGTCGTGTACCGGATAATTTTCTCGGCAGGTTCATCTGTCGTGATTGAAAAACTTACGACGCGCTCTCGACCCTCGTCATCAAATTGCATGAGGGCACATCCTATAGAAAAATTGCTCGCGTCACATACGACGTGGAATGGCTTAGAGTCATCAGGTAACATCAGCACCGGTGCCTCGGACAAGCACTTCTTTACGGAGTCGAAGGCAGATTGATGTTCTGCCGTCCATAACCATACTGCGTCTTTCTTGAGCAAAGTCGATAATGGCTGAATTAGCTCAGCATAGTACTTCGTATACTTATGCAAGTAATTCGCCATACCGAGCCATTGACGTAATTCCGTTTGGTTCCTGATCGCTGGCCGGGAACAGATCGATGAGATCTTCTCATGATCAGCGTGGAAATCTTCCTTGCTGACGTAGCAACCGAGTACTGGAATCTCGGGAGTGCAGAAGACACATTTCTTTAAATTCGCATACAATTTATTCTCGCGCATAATTTAAAACACCTGCTTCAAGTGTCGAAGGTGTACCTCCGTGGCGCTGAGCTTTTGCTCAGCGCGGCTGTGAACAAAAATGTCGTCAAAGTAGCTCGGTGCAAAGTCGCGAAGTGGACGAAGTACTTGTGTCACCATCCGATTGAACGTAGCCGGAGCGTTCTTAAGACCTTGTGGCATGACTAGCCACTCCCAAAGCATCCCGCTTGGAATGCTGACCGCATTGAACGGAATGTCACTGTCCCTCATGAGGATCTAATATAAACCGTCTGTCAGATATATGGCGCTGTAGCTCTCGCTCCCGGACATGGTATTTAATACCATGTCTTTTCGAGGGATAGGCGTTTGAGGCGGGATCGTGGCGTCATTCAGCTTGTTGAAGGCGTGCACAATGCGCCAACCGCCGGTGGCTTTCTTTACACAGAAAGTCGGGCTCGAATGTGGCGAGATACTCTCGCGGACATGGTTAGCCTTGCGGCGACCCTAAAAAAATTCATCAATAGCGATGACTCGATCGCGCGGTAACGGCCACTGCCGTGTCACGCAATATTTCGATCCTGGCACTAGATCCTTCTCGTGCCGCACACCACGATCCGCCGGAAGCTCAGCTGTAATTTTCTCCGGAAGAATATCGACGTACTCACGGGCGATATCGTAGAAAGGGTTTCCCGAAGCACGAAGAGCATCCCAAGACTGTGCCGCGAAGCGTTCTTCGCGCGCTGATTTAGGCTCGGCTCTCTTTGGGAGAGCCTCCAGAACTTCTTCACTGGCTTCTTCGGTGGTTGAAACGATTCACACTTGCTCGATGTCGCCTTCCTTGAGGTCGTGAAGGCAATCTTTCCATGCAAGGTCTGACGGAAATGTGATCTATTAAGCAGTGCACGGTGGGCTCGATACCTCAATGTAGCGGCCACGATGTGGAGAACCCTCCACATATTCAAGCACGCATACGGATTCCTTCACTACGGAATCATCTGCATCAGCATTTTAACGTGAATCTCGTCGTCTCGATGATCG